TGGGGTACGCGCGACGAATTTTCAACATGGTCGCTCGCGTGTATCTTTGGTATGGCGTTGGTTTAATGTCAACAGTAGCGTGTTGTTGAAATAGCTAACTAATTGTTAATCACTATAATTTTATTTAGTAGTGTTTCTGTAATATTGTTTTGTGTTTCATGATATTGTGTGTCAATACCGTGTGCTACTTTAATGTGATAGCATGGATTGTGTTGTTATCGAATTTCAATAGTCATTGTTTTGATTACACGTGACTTGCATTTATATGAGTCTCGTTTAATTTAGTTAATGTTTTGTGTATTGTGTTACCAGTTATTTTTGTGTAGCATAACTTTATTCCTTTGCACCGAGTTTCACTTTCGTGTAGCATAACTTTATTCCTTTGTACCGAGTTCAGTCATGTTTTGTTATTAATATTTAGTTAGTCTATCTTGATTAATTTCTAACCTATTTCTGTGTTTATGGACTTCTCTTATTCTTTTCCATTAATTTATTATTGCTTGTACTATTTGTTATTATTTTATGCATGATATGAATTAGTTCCCTTATTAGTGATTAAAATTTATTTTTTAGATTAACATTGTAATTTCTAACCTATTTCTCTGTTTATTGCCCTTTCTTATTTTCCCTATTAATTTATTATTACATGTACTTGCTATTTGTTATTATTTTATGTATGACATGAATTAGTTCCCTTATTAGTGATTAAAATTTATTTGTTAGATTAACATTGTCTGTGATTCTTCAGATTCTACTCTTTCGATGCTGCGTCACTTACCTGGATCATTCCCACATCATCCGATTCTTCGATATACCTTGGATACTTACTACGGTTGCCTTCAATCATCTTATATCTGTGACCATAAAGGTACTGTTTAATTTATTTAATTTAATATGTGTATCATGCATTGTGTGTGCGACCGCTATTGTGCATTACAAAATCCGCTTCTACATGTTAGATATAATAATATAACAATACTACGTAGATTAATACATAATAAAATATCTTTTATTCCGGTTATATTTATTACTAACTCTCAATTAATCTATCTTAATTATTTTCTAACCACTTTCTATACTTATCAGCTATTTTATTTCTTCTTATTAATCTGCGAAATTCATGCATGTACACTTCCTTGTATGGTGATTGATTGTTCACGAGGTAAGTTGCACTTTCACTGTTTTAATTATTCGTTGAACCAACACGTTTTATATTCAAACAGTAATTGGAGCACTCGTAATAATCTTCCTTTCCTTTTAGATTTTCGCTACCTGTGTTATTCGACGAACAGTGTCATGCTTTCACAGTATCGTTATAACATTTAGTAATGTTGTATTTTGCATTAAGACAATTGGAGTTAATTCGTTCATTTATTTTCAGCTGGCTGTCGTACATTGTGTTCCGCAAACACGGATCCATAACCTATTTTGCACGTAAACCTTCTTGTACGATGATTACTTGTTCACAAGGTAACTTTCGCTTCCACCCTTTTAATTATTCATTGAATCAACACGTTTTATATTCAAACAATAATTGGAGCACACATAATAATTTTCCCCCTTTTTTTTTTTTAGGTTTCCGCTATCTGTATTATTCGACAAACAGTGTCACACTTCCTTTTGATTCAACCACAATATTGTTATAACATTCAGTAATATTGTATTTTGCACTGAGACAATTGAAACTAATTTATTCACTTATTTCAGGTGGCTGTCATACATTATGTTCAAAAACCAGGGATCCATAACCTATATTTGCACATACACTTCCTTGTATGTTGATTACTTGTTCACAAGGTAACTTTCACTTTCACTAGTTAATTATTCATTGAGTTAACACGTTTTATATTTAAACAATAATTGAAGCACACATAATAATTTACTCTTTTTCCTTTTAGGTTTCCGCTATCTGTATTATTCGATGATCATGCATGTACACTTCCTTGTATGGTGATTGATTGTTCACGAGGTAAGTTGCACTTTCACTGTTTTAGTTATTCGTTGAACTAACACGTTTTACATTCAAACAGTAATTGGAGCACACGTAATAAACTTCTTTTTCTTTCTAAGTTTCCGCTATCTGTGTTATTCGACGAACAGTGTCACGCTTCCACAGTATTGTTATAACATTTGGTAATGTTGTATTTTGCATTAAGGCCATTGAAGTTAATTCGTTCATTTATTTTCAGCTGGCTGTCGTACATGGTGTTCCACGAACAACGATCCATAACCTATTTTGCACGTAAACCTTCTTGTATGATGATTACTTGTTCACAAGGTAACGTTCACTTCCACTCTTTTAATTATTTATTTTTTGTATTCAAACAATAATTGGAGTACACATAATAATTTTTCTTTTTTTTCCTTTTAGGTTTTCGCTATCTGTATTATTCGACGAACAGTGTCACGCCTCCTTTACCACATCTTTATCTCTATCGTCAGTCCGTCGGATTTGAAGTATGCCGGTCGTGACATTCACAAGGTAACTTTCACTTTCACTGGTTAATTATTCATTGAGTTAACACGTTTTATATTTAAACAATAATTGAAGCACATATAATAATTTTCCCTTTTTCCAAACCTATACTTGCACGTACACTTTCTTGTATGTTGATCACTTGTTCATGTCGGAACAGCACTACAACATACACTACTGCACTACGTTGCCCACTGAAATCACTTTATTCATTGTTTATTTCGATTATGCGCTAGTTTTAACTTGTTTAAGTGCACTGTTCGCGGAATCCCTTTTACTTCAATCTTGACGTTTTGGTTCTGCAAAATTTCTAGCACTTTGTGTGGTCCGGTATATTGATCGGAGAATTTTCCTTTACTAAGTTCTTTTAGTAGATATATCGAGTCTCCTATTTAAAAATTTTGAGGGTTGATTCGTCGGTCGTAATATTCTTTTGATCTTAGTTTGGATTTTATCAAATTTTCTCTTGCCATTCGTTGTACGGTGTTAATTTTATCGAACAGATCTTCGAGATATTCTGCGTATGT